CTGTTACAAAATGATTTTCCCTGGTTCTCAGTGCTTAACCAAGTGCTTAGTACTTGCTTGATCAGTCCATGAGACCAAGTCTTTATTAGGTCATTTATTTTCCTAAAGAACATCATGGGAATAATACTATTTCTGGCTCCTACAGGTAATCTCAGGGGATTCCTGTAGCTCAGTGGTGTTTTACAGGGCTCTAGAGGCAAAGGGACTGCTCTGAAGAACTGTTTCTCCCCTTTCTGAAATCACAGCTGTTACTGTTCAGAGTCTGAACTGGAGCCTCTGTATTGAACTCCCACCAGCAAAACAGGATCTGTCTGAAGCTTTGTAGTGTGCAGAACCGTTATCTGAAAGCTAAATATAATGTGGGCTATTGCTCCTGGTTAATATGCCTGCCTTTTTACCCACTGCTCTGCTCTCCTTGTCCCTGTCTAGTTGGAGAATTGACAGCTGTGGCCTCAAGCAGGGTGTGTTTGGTAGCTGCAGGATTTGGATGCCAAGTTCTGGGATATCACGCTCACAGCGGCATTTGGGGCTGTGATAGGCGCTGGCATTGCACTGCCTGCAGCTGTGAGGCTCTCGCTGAGGTGGCGTCGGGTCAAGCTGCCTCCTCCGTGGCAGAGCCCATAGCTGATCACTTGCCACTTTCTGTACCAATTGCTTCCTGATATGGTATAAGAAATCCACGTGCAGAACTCTTATGGCCCCTGTGGATAGGGCTTGACCACCTTACGTTGATTTGCTTTAGATCTGTACTGCACCCACAAAATTATCTCACACGGTAAATGATATCACACAAAAAACTTGTGCTTCCAGTGCAAGCTTACTTTCAACTGGCTCTGGGCAAATTCTTCAGGAGATTTTCAGGGCTCGAATACTTTTTAATTAGGACATATTTGTTCCTGGCGATCTGCTGAATGTGTTCTGTGAATTGTAGGGAAATGAACATTCCCAGCATTTAGCTATGTATTTTATTACACCTGCTCTTGGTTGCCCATCAATTCACTGATGAATGACCCTCTGGCACCAGCTGCATGGCCATGTTACAGGAAAATGTTAATTTTCCACAAAGATAATGTAGCTTGCAGTGTGCTCAAGGAAGTCATTGCCTCCTCCAGAGTGCAGCTGGGAGCATCCTGCAGTCTGCATGTGGGAGCTCAGTACCAGGCACTGACAGCGTCTCTGGTAATTCCAGTCTTTTGAGTTCATCTCAGGTGCTTTTCCTGTGGAAAGCTGACTATAACAATGCCTGTTTCTACTTCTGCTCCTATTTATTGTCCATCTTGTTTGATTTTGTCTTTGTGATGTGATACACGGTTGTAAGTTTATGCAGGTGTGTGTTTGTGTAGGTATCCCAGAGTGGTGTACCAGATGCACCAGGTGAAATGGGTTTTATTTGACAAAGTGAACTAGACTGGTAAATGCAGTGATTCTTCTCCACACAGCCAATGAGGCAGTTGTAAAACAAAACCATAAAGCTTTCCCTGCTGTTTATTTTCTAAAGGGTATCATGATCACCAGAAGAATGAACCATCTGAAAAGCTCTGTAATGTGGAGACAAAAATTGAGTGAAAAAATTATTTTAATTATTCATTTCCCCAGCCCAAAACTCATCAGATAAAAAGAGTAAAAGTAGCAACATAGCGATTAGCAATATAGCAAGTAGCAATAGAGCCAGGTGACAGTTTCAATATGCTGTTCTAACTACTCCTTTATGTCTGAGATACTGAAAGCCCTGGGAAACTGAGGAAGGGATCTGTTTCCTTCACAGTTTGGAAACAGCCAGAACATACTGTCCTTGAATTAGATAACAGCAGCTCTTTGCCAAGGTAGGGAGAAGACCCTCCCTATTTGAATCGCTAGCTGATCTTTACCACTTTTGGAAAAAGGAAGCCTTCCAAAGCTAGCCAAGATAGCAAGAAGTCCAAAAGAAAGGGATAAAATACTAATTTATTGTCAGTTCATCTTGAGTCCATAGGTCAAATTAAACTAAGTCAGTTCTTTGCATTGATGTACTGGGACAGATAACTTTAAGATCATTTGGACTGATGCTGTGGTGAGCCCTACAAATGAGACTACTGTGCTATTTTTTTTGAATTTATCATGTGAGTGCTAGACTAAGGTAAATTGCTGTACTTAATACCTGCAGGTAAGCATCATATTTTACTCTGTAGAAACAAGTTTAAACAATTTCTGAAGTGATGAATGACTTTAGGTGTGAAGGAACTATTGTGCACGATATACTGAACCACTTGGTGAAAAATGGTGTGTTTGAGAAGTTTAGGTGTGGTACAGCCTGATGTATTTCACGTTTTATGGAGAACTTCCTGGTTTGGTCTAAGGGGAGGTGATCAGTTCTATTCACTTTCAAGTAACTTATTTACATTCTCAGGCCTCGATCATATCATATTTTATTGTGAGTCTGTGGGTTAGTTCTAGTCTGAGCTACATTTGTTTTTTAAGGGGAAAAAAAAAATCCTGCTATTAAGAGATTTTTCTTTCTGTTTTTAAAACATTACTATACATCTAGAATGGTAAAATTAATTACTTTATTAACCATTCTTTACCTGACTGCAGTGAAATGATCTCTTCTTCCAGAAAAGATCCTTGTGGTATTGGCATGTCAGACAATTCTGTCTTCACTTTAGTGAAAAAAAGAGAATTTCTGGGATATGCCTTTGAGCGTGTTTTGGGTAAAGGCAAAAGGAGGAAATGCATCAGAGCTGGGCAGTTTGAGGGACATGTTCAGAAAGGACAATGTGTGTAAATGAGAGACTAAAAGACTATGAGTAAGACAGAAAGTGCTTCTGAGTTTTAATAAGGAAGAGAGAGCTTATTAATTTTGTTTCCGTCAGTGAGTTTGTCTGAGTCTGCCCTGGAATAGGTCAGGGCTGTGCTGGGATGGGCATCCTTACAGTCTAGCAAACACTCCGCTGGTGGCTGCTTGCAAAGAAGTGACACATTCCTTTTGAGCTGTTTAGGCTGTGTGCTCCTAGCTTGAACACTGAAGAAAATTGTGTGAGGAGGAATGGAAGGCAACAGAATTAGTAAAAGAGGCTCATGTGGAACGTACCACAGTTCCTGGGCAGGATCCTGTAATCCTAGATGGGATGGCATTATACTGTGCTTTCACATTGGTTGCCCTTTTGTATTCCAGAGGACTATTTGCAGAAGCAAATGCTGTTTGGCAGGAGTCTGGCCCTGCATAATTTACATTACTGTTATTGTGTTTTATAGCATGCAGAATAGAGACTCAGTTCTGAACAGAGTATATGGAAATGTGACTGCCATTTGTCAGTCTAGATTTAACTAGTAGCATTATCTTTAGCAGTGAAGATTGGGTGAGCAGAATGTGTGTACACACAGGCAGAAACATCAAGAAACAGTTGCTTTTAATGGAGAGTGGCCCAATTTATAACCAGGTTTCACGCTTCTTATTTTCCAACAGTGCAAGTCTTGACCCTTATCAATTCAGAGAAAAACGAGGGGCAAGGTGGAATTCCCAGAGATGGAACTTGTACAACTGTAGGTTACCAACTGATGCTGATGCTGTATCCAGCTGTTGTATCAGTATTTATTCTAGCACAGCACTGCAGAAATAAAACAAACAAACAAACAAACAAAAACAGCCCCCCAGTAGAATGAGAATGTCTCACAGTAGTTAGCTCAACAAAGCCTGCTGCAGTCAACATTTCATACACGTGTTTAAATCTCAGCACATTCAAAATTCTTCAAATCACTTATGCTTGTGCTGTAGAGCTTTGCTATTCTGGGCCTAAGGACTGTGAAAAAGGAGATTTTTTTTCCAATATTGGAAGAATTATCAGCTTGATGCACCTGGAATTTCTCTAGTTTATATGCCTGAAGAAAATGGACGTGAAAGAGCGCTGCATCACAACAGTAGCCTCTTACACCACTGATGTGTGCATCTAAATGACTGCAAGTTGTGAGAGATGCAGGCTCAAAACATGTTGCATCTGTTTGTTACAGCAGGTATTTTCAAATTCAGACCTGAGAGAGATGGTTGCAACTTCTTTGAAATCAGAATTACAAACACATACCCTAGATCTGAACTTCACCCTTACACCAATTTGTATTTCCCGTTGAAATATATCTGAGAAATCAAAGGGATGTATTTTTTTTCTCCCTTTTTGCATGAAATGTTCTGATGACAGAGTTTGTTTCTGGTGGTAAAACACATGGCTGTTAAAACGAATGCAACTAATCATGATTGAATAGGAATGGTTCATATAAACCTGCCTACATTCTCTGAGATATAAAACTTAGCGGGCATGCTGCAGGTATTTCTCAAGCAGGAGGGGCTGCTTTTCTAAATAGACTGTATTTATTATGGGTGGCTGGGTATCTGCATTCTGGCTCAGTTCCCTGTAGTAAGGAACTGACCACATTACTATTTGCAAACACAGGGTTCACTCAAGTGGTACTAAAAAGAGAAGAGGTGGGGCAAGCAGAGCTTTAAAAAGAAAAGAGGAGTCCATCCAAGCTTGTATGCAAAAAGCAACTGCGTTTTGGAGAAGGACGGTACCTGGAGATCTCACTCCCTTTACTCCACTGAGGGAGTTTTCCAAATTCACAGCTTTTCAGATTTAAACAGCAGCTTCACTTCTTGCAGGGAAATTCACAGTGATCTTTGCAAGCTTTACTTTTAAGCTGTGTTAAATTCGTGGCAAGAGTGTCAGGCATTTCATACTTGGCTTCCAAAAAAGAAAAAAAAAAAAAGGAAGAGAGAGGAAAAAAACCCGATGTGTGTGGGGAAGAGATCTCCTAGGAATTTCTTCAGGGTTGTAGTCAGACACAGTAAGGGCTAAAGTGACAAGAAAAGCAAGGCAAAGATAAAACCTGGTATTGTGATAAGATGTCTGAGTTTAAAATGGGAGATTGCAGAAACCTGTTTGGATTACACGTGTTCGTCTTGTCCTGGATATGACCAAGATATGAACACAAGCTAGTTTTTCTCCAGTGACAGTTCAAAACCCCTCAGGATTATGTTTCTCTTCCTTGTTGCTTTTTTGCCAGTGGTTTTTAAAATTGGTTTTGTCAGCCTCTCAGCTCTGCAGCACTGGAACTGTCCTAATGGATACAGATTAAAGACTGAAAACTCGGCTTGTATAGGTAAGTTGCTGACCTTTAACAGATTGAGAAAACTGCATTTGTATTCTCTTAATAGAGCTTTATAATTTTCAAAGAGATTTTTAGATTGCTTGTGTTTGTTCTGGCAGAACTGATAAGCCGGTTTCTTGGTAGCTTTGGCTTCTCAAAATGAACAGAACACATTTTATTTATGTTGTTTTTCAGCAGTCATTTGTCTGTCAGTTTAACTATCAGAAAGAAGGATAAAATTTTATATGATTGTTAAGAAATCAGAACTGTTCCCTAATTACCAAAATTCCTTTTCAAAGCTTTAGTATCTCTTTATTTTCAATACATGTGCATGCACATATTTATACTTCTGTATATATAAAATTCAAATAGGTGTATTTTTATATTTCTTTTTGCATATACAGAGAGTATTTTAATGATTATGTATTAGTAGATACTTAGATGTGGGCTAGATCTCTTTAAAAAAATACTCTTTCTATGTTTATTGGTGCATGCATATATGTGGGCTTCTGTTTAATAACATGTCTCATACAATACATGGATTGCAGTTTTATTTGATATTTATTTGATGTAGTATTAAAGTCTAGGTGAAATATATGGCACTAATATTAGTATAATCACTTCTAGTGATTGGGAACATGTAAAATGCAAGTTCCTGTTCTTTACAAAGTGTAAGACAAAGAATGACAGAACTCTTCTCCCTACCCTGCTACCTTGAAGTCAATTTTTTTTTTTTTTAGAAAGCCAGAGAAAATGAAGTCAAGAACTTTGCAGTAAGGAGGTGAGGAAACACTCTGTAAGAATTCAAGCAGACCTAGTATTTGAAGTTACTGCTTTTGCCTTGGATTGCTTCAGAGGCTCTGACTCGGTTCTTGACATGATTCCAGTGATTTAATAACAGGTGCCTCCTCTGTGCATTCTGCCAAGACATGCCATCTTGTAAGCAGAAAATAGAAGTATCTGCGTTAAACGCTCTCATAGGAAGAGAGGAGGAGCTAGGTATTTTTTGTGTACAAATGACTGAAGGTCTGTTTGAGAGCCAAACGCACCTAGGGTACTTCCACACCAATGTCTGAATTCAAATGAGAGGCATGCTTCTGAAAAGAATCTCCATACTGTCACCTCTTACTATGCTTGTCTTCACATCGCAAAGGACCCTCAAAGTGCACAGGCTGCATTCCCTTTAAGCAAATCTAAACCAGAAGGTCTTCCTTTAGGAGAGTACCTATCCTCTCTGCTACTTATGACCATCCAGTCCGTGGGACTAGACCAGACCTGGTTTTCTGTAACTTCAGCCTGACATCTATGCAGTGTGTGCAACATATCTGCAGCAACTGTTGCACTTTACGCAGCCTTTCCTATAGGGCGACGCTATTTGCTATTATGTACATATAGTCCAGCAGCTAATTAGTATGTGCATGAGTTATGACTTCTACATACCTGGATTACTCAATTAAGAGCTCATGTATAACAGGAGAATCCTACTGACTTGAAAGGAATTGCTTGGCTATCAAAAAGCACTCTAAATATTGACATTCAGAAGGCTGCAAAGCTGTATTTTTAAATTTCAGTTAGTTGACATATTTCACATACTGATGTACATCACTCTTCCATTAATGGAGAAATAACCTGTCATGCATTATGTCTCTTCTGTTGAAAATCAGATGCATTCCACTACACTATGAATGAGGGGAGACTATGTCAGGCACCAGAACAGAATGGCTTGTAGCTCAGCAAACACTGCAAGAAGCACTAATAGAACTCTTGTGTAAGAGCTCATGTTACTACAACATACTCTGAACAATCCAATGTAGTACAGAACAAATGAAAAATGAGGTATTCTGGGGTTACTTTTTCATTAGCAACCACTGGCTTACAGGGGACTAGGCAAAGGTGAAATTTTGACATGAAATGTAAGACTGAAGGATGCTTCAGTGGAATGGATTTCCTCTGTGTGCTGGATAAACAAATTGTATTCTGGCTGGAAGACCGGATGTATAATATTCTAGTTCATTAATTATGTGAGACAGAGGGTGCAGTGGAAGCAAGTGGTAGGAAGCTGGAGGCAGGCTTTGAAGGTAATAGTGGGGATAAAAGTGGTGAGTGGGAGACATGACTCATACCACTGAACTGTGAACAATGACAGCAAGCTGAACTGTGGCTTGGCGACCGTTCATTGGTGAGCTGTAATAAATATACCAATTGTAAAATGTTCTTTATTGTCTGTGACTGAGGTGGCATCCTGCCAGCCAAAAGGACTACCCTGAATCGAGAAGGTGTCAGCTCTGTTAGTGAGCTGTTACAAGCAACACTTACTGGAAAGTGTGTAGGCTTTTAGATTTGTTTTCCTTTCTGCCACTACAGGTGAAGATCTAGGTTGTCCTCTTCCTACGTTGCTAAAGAGCTCACTTCTTAATTAGTTCCTTTTATTTCTAGGGATAATCAAAGGTCAAAGACCTTCTCATCCTGTGGAAGGATAATGTAATCTAACCCTAAAGGTCTCACATAATTTTATACAGTTAGTTTAGGAGAGGTTATTTGAATCCTGACTTGATATGCCCAGAGAGGAAAGGCCTTTCAGAAGGACTGTGCATCCCACAACAGCAAGGTTCGTAAGAAAGAAAGTATGGGAGAACAAATAATAAGGTCAGAACAAGACTAGTCTGGTGAAAGAGCATATCAATTTAGCTGCAAGTTACGGTAGAAATGGAAGTGTATCTGCAATTTTTGACATTGCTATGTTGATTTAATAATTTATTTGAAGCTGATGTCAGGGCTTAGGACTCAGTTAAATAACTGATCTTTCTTGGACCTCAGTGAAAACACATAGTTGTGAAAAAACATAGTTGGTCTTGGGAGATCTTTGATTTTTAATATATGAGACCATGTAAGCATACATAGTACACCAGGGAATGAGCCTTAATGCCTAGTAGAATCAGTTGCCTGTGCTTTGCCAACACTACTTTTTATTCTCCCATGGTGTGTAGATGCTTTCCCAACTCAAGACTAGAAGTTTCTTATGTGGCACTGTGTATCTGAAGAGGCCCCTGGAGCAGACCCCTGTATTATCAGTTTTGGACCAGATACTAGTGCCTGTTAGTCTTGCGCTACCCTAGTTAAATATATTATAGTCTGGATACTACAAGACCGAAGGGATTTTGGCTTCAGGGCTCACTTTGCAAGTTTTAAAAGTGAAAGAAGGTGGTTATTAGCAAAAAAAACCCAACAAAACACAAACCAAAACCAAACCCAAAAATATCATGTAAAAGTTTTTGAAGAAGGCAAAATGCAACCCACATTACCGAAGTTTTATGGAATTGCAAGTTCTTAAATTCTGTGCATCTCTACTAGCTTCTGACCTTAGCTGATCAGGCCTTGTCACTACTTCAGGGCTAGCATGCTGCACATTCCCGCAGAGCTACAGCCTCCAATTGAAGGTGACAACTGCAGCTATCTAGGTCAGTTCTTTTGGTCAGATGCTTCTTTCCGTGTCTCAAGCTATCCTCCATTCTTTCTTGCTGTTCACTACTCTCCTGCCATGGAGCACTAGTGGTGCAGAATATTGTTATTACTCTTGGTGTTACATCTTTAAATTCACCTTAATTAGCCAAATCCTGGCTTCAGTTTGCTCCATATAGCCTTCTGTCAAAACTTCTTATGTTGTATTCTGAGAAATGTGAAATGCCAAACCCTCACTAATTCACAGCATCCTTTCTTGGCTAGCATTGCATAAGGAGCAGTAGGAGCCAATGAAACTCTTAGGGAACTGTATTGTCTACTCCTGTCATGACACAGAGGTATACCTGTTGAGATCCCACTGTATCCCTCTGTATTTTAGAAGAGCTGCAGTTGAGGCATGCTTGTTTCCTTGTTTTCAGTAGCTGTCTTCTAGCTGCATCCCTTCATATGATACTGCCTTGAGGAAAAATACTTAGAAATATTGTTACCAAATAGTAGCTAGGAATTCTTGAACATGGGTCTGAACCCACAGACAGATTCACAAGAAGATTCCCATTGAATTCTCTGGAAATTGGATCCAACTGAATGTGGGCAAATACTATATTAAGTTGTTAAAACTTAGATCAAAATAGGAAGGCGGAGATGATGTTACAAGAAGTAACAGAAATGGTGTCACACATCAAATGAAACTTAATCCTGAAGAAGGATAAGGGCCAGACTCCAGAACCAATGACTAATACTGCAGAACTCACATTTTACTGCACAGTGGAAAATAGCAGATATTAATTTCATGTTCTGTTTCAAACAAAACTGTTTACTTTCTATTGTCTAATTTGAAACCTGATTTTAAAGGGATCTTGATGACAGTATTTGCTGATGCCTTTCAAAGAGAGCCAGATGATAGCCTCATGAACATCTTTGAAAGGCAAGCCAATGACATTATGTTGGAAGTTGTATGATTTAGGAAGTAGAGGTCCCTTCTGTAGTTACTATTTACAACTAGAATTTATTTGAAAGAAAAATACTGTTTTTTTTTCTCTGTTATAGTGCCCAAGATCTGAGTCCTGAAAGGTAGAAAATTAAAGATATTTTAGTTCCTTGAGATCTTTTTTTTTTCCATTTCTCTTCAAGATGTCTACAAGTGGTTTGTGAATTTTATTGCAATTCTAAATTTGATTCTACTCTATACTTGATTAAATCATGTGATTCCTCTTGTTGTCATATCTGTAATATGATCACCTCTGTGGCTCCGGTCTGAAAAAGTCCAGGAGTTGAAAACCACCTTCTTGTATTCACATTGTATTTCTTACCACAGTAATTGAGCACTTCACAGACTCTATCCTCTCAAAAACTATGAGTGATCAGATTACACTTTAAACCCCATTTAAAATCAGAGAGAGAGGATACTGAGCTGTGCGTGATGTGGTTTGTTGTGCTGTGCTGATATATGGAGTATCTGTCTCCATTTCTGGCTATCTTCTGGTTTTTTTAGCTATATGCTTTTAACAAAATATCTAAATGGATGGACTGATTTGTTTCTAATCTGGGTGAAATTTTATGTACAATCTTGTTGAAAATATTACAGTGGTGGCTAGATACAGCAGATTGCATTAATCCCCAGTCCAGTTCCATAGGAATCAAATTTGAGTGAGATTGAGTGTGCACTTGCACATGTATTTTTAAATATATATAATGTATGTATTTGGGGCCACAATGAAAGCAACTTCTGGCTCACTGTGGTTTCTCTGTATTCCTGACAGGCATACTAATGCTTCACCTTCTGCAATCAGAGCATTTCTCAGGACTCTCAATAAAGTAGCATATTTGTATGCAAAGTCATTGAGAGCTGCCAACATCATGATGACATGATTCATCGTTTTTGCTGATTCTCAAGGCATTTTTTGCATAAAGAAGCCTTTGAGAACTGAGCAGAACCTCATTCTTTCCTTTCAAGACTGGCTGTCAGGGCACTGCAGACAGCTTTTGTGTCCACTAAGCCGATTTCTTTCACAGGGTAAAGTTCCCACTGGGGGATGTGGTTGCCAGGACACGTAAAACAGCTACAGCAGGACACAGCTCTGTGCTTTGCTTTGGCACTGAAAGTGCCAGTGAAGGCACTGCTAGTTACACACCGTGGATGGTTTCATGACTGAGTTCTCCTAAACCTTAAGAAACAGCCTTTTTTTTTTTTTCCTCCCTACTTTAAGCAGAGAAGAGAGCATGCAAATCACAGGGTGCTCTTCCATTGTAGGCACCGTACGAGCTGAATGTCCACAGCACTGTGGTGTCTTTTACAATAGTGCTATGTCTGTGGGCGCTTCCTGTTGACTGCTGGAAGGGACATTCTCTGGTGACTGAGCTGCCTGTCACCACTGCATCCCTTGCCTTTTATTGGGCTGTAATTCTTCCACTAGAGCCTTTCTTCAGCTGGGGTGATTGCACGGTTTTCAGTATGTGTGGGATTTGCTTTATTACGTGAACTTTAGTGGTGATGAAAATGGGCACACTGATAACCCTGAAATCCTTTCTTCACATGCAAGCAGTGTAGTTTCTTGTAGCCTGGTCAATCAGTATGCTCTTTCTTGGAGAGTTAGTTTTGTACACTCATATAAAGCTAGAAAATGCACCCTGTAAATAACAGGCCATTGTCCAGTTGTGTTGGTACGTAGCTCACTAACTTGTGCTTGCTTAAAGCTTGTCTTTCCAGTCTGATCTTGGTGTGAGAATATCCACTGATGTTTTTTAGACCCTCATATTTTTTTCTCCGTGGGTAGTTCCCTTAGAGAATCGTAATTCACAATGGTGTAGCATTGGAACATGTTGGTGGAGTCACCAAACCTGGAGGTGTTCAAAAAATGTGTGGACATGGTACTTCAGGACATGGCTTAGTCATGGTAATGTTGGGTTGATGGTTGGACTTGATGTTTTTTTGAGGTCTCTTCCAACCTTAATAATTCTATGATTCTGTGCTAATTTCTGTTAAAATGTGAATTTAACATCTAAATTTGATTTCCCTGGCTTCAGTTCTCAGCCATCAGTCCTTATCATATCTTTGTTGCAAAAGATAATAGTGCCCTTTAGAAAATCTGGTACTTTTTCTTTTGAAGGTGTTCATATATTGTGATCCCAGTCTGCAAACTTCCCACTTCTTTCTGATAATCTAGACAGACTGAGCTCTTGAAGAATCTCAAAGAAAGGCACTTCTCCTTGCTGTCAGATCAGGCTTTTTATCGTTAGTGTATAAAATTTCTAATTTGCCAGGATCCTTTGACAACCTACATCTGAAAGATACAAACAGCATGCCAACATATTTTGACCAATGCCATATACAGAAGTAAAATAATTTCCCCACTGTCATTCATTTTTCCTGTGTTTATATGTGTTGTGATTTGAACTTTCTTGCCCAGGAAACATGCTAAGAGGTCAGCAGATCAATACAAATCCTTTTCAGAGTAAGCAACCTTCCAGACACAATCCGTGGGTCAGGCTTATCTTTCTTATTCTCATTTTATGTGTTCTTTGTTGTGATCAAATAATAGTTCTTCCATCCGTATTCCACGTTGCTTGGTCAAATGAGCTCTGTCTTTGGCAATCTTACATCTACACAGTTACCTTTATCACCCATACTGGTAATTTCCTCAGAGAAATAGCATCAGGTTTATTTGATAAGCCACGATTGTCATAAAAGTCTGTTGAGTAACACAAACTACATTACAGCCTTTATCAACAAATTCTTACACCTGTTTTGGTACTGGTGACTAGATCAGATTAACTGTCCACCTTAGTCAGCCAGTTGCTCCATTTGAAAACCAGTGCATGAGGGAGAGATACAAATGGTGTTCATGCCTGCAGACTTGTTCACATCTCTGCTAACACTGACAGCAGCTGTGACAGTGAGCTGAGGTCATCAAAGCTCTCCCAGATGGGCTATCCAAGAGTCCTTTAGTTTAATGACATCCAGGCAATGTTAGCCAGGAGTAGCTAGTTTTAAAGTGGCAACCTGGAGTTCACAGTTTCTGTAGCCCATTAACAAACTTCTAAGCCAATCAAACCTTTCTAAAGGGGATTTGGAGGAGTTACTCCTTTAATGCTGTGGAGAATGGCATGCACATCCCTTGTATGTGTGGGAAAATATGCTCCCGAAAGCTGATTGTTTGAAGAAGATTGTGGGCTAGAATTAGAGTTCTTTTTGGAATTAAGTTGTTGAAAATGCCTCTGCTTTACCTTCATAATCTGTTCAACAGACATCAGTTGCATGTGCTCTGATTATGTTTCATATGTTGCCAAATTAGTTCATCTGCTATGTGGAACATAATGTTGTTGAAAAACTCTGAAAACAGTATGGAAACTTTCCCTAGTCTGTACAGACATGTTAGGTGTGTACAGCGTTGTAAGCGTTGACATTCTTTTCCAACAGCTTTGATATCTGACACAGAAAAAACCCTTAAACAATTCTGCTGCGTGTAGTTTTTTAGAACAGTTAAAGGAGACAGGTTCCCAGACCCATGGGGTATCAGAGATCTGGTTGCTTCTCTCTCCTCAGATCACTGAGAGAGAAAGTTCCTTTCAAAGTGTTGGTGTGAGCTGGTTAAATTGTAGTTCCTTGTGGTTATTGTGAGGTGCCATTTCTGACCTTCTTTGAACTAGGGGAATCCTCACCTCACAGTCACAGACCTCCTGAAGCACTGTCATAATTTTCATTTGATACAAATGATCACCTAAGTTATGCAAGGAGATGTTCTTCTTCCATTGCTCTAAATTATTGATCAGGAATACAGAAAAAAAAATAGAAAAATTGTTATGAGCTATGCTTGAAACAACTCAATGCATCTATGTAGCTTTGGTTACGAATCAATGTCCTTTAGGGACTTAATCAAATGTGTCTCTTTAAAATAATTTGTTTTGATTCCTTTTTCCTGCACTTGCAAAAGTCAGACAATAAAACACAGAGCAAAAGCCACTGACATCAAACAGATCTTGGGCAAGGAAAAAGTGGCTCCTTAGAGCAACCCTCATAGTGGTTCTTCAAGGAATGTACCAGGTTATAGTATTGCCAGATTTCAAGCACCTTGGGATATTGCCATCAGATGCATTTTCAGTAAGAACTGAAGTTTTTCTCAGTTTCCTGGGACAATCATCCATGGTACTGCCAAATTTCTTTACCCCTTAGTGTAAAATACATTTCTCAGTTGTGAGCTTTTTTTTTTAAAAAAAATAAAGTTCTTAATTACTTCCTCAGCCTCTGATAAAATACAATAAATATGTCCAATTTCTTTTAACTCCTAAAGACTCCAGCCTAATCTATTAGTTAAAAGCCCCGTTTCTAATGAGTTTGCTTGTTGCCTTGGTTTGGGCCTCTTGTTGTCAGAGTGTAGTGGGGGTTTTAATGTTTTGTATGTATTTTTGAGATTTGACTTGATCCAAAATGAGTCCAGTGTCGAACTTCGTGCTATGGCAGCCTGTTTGCTGCTTTGCTTTTTTGCAGAATTTATTAATTTGTTGGCAAAATTATTACTGTGGAAAGAGGGATAAAGATAGAAGGAAGCAGTTGCAGGCAGCTTTTGTTTAGGAAATGATAATGAAGAACACAGAAATGGAGTGCGAGTCAAGTCTTTTCCCTGTGTTTGGGCAATCGGAGACCAGAGCACCCAGACACTAGGGAAAATGGTAATTTCCCTGGACAATCTTCTAAAAAAAAAAAAGAAAAAAAAAGAAAAATCACTGTGTGTGTGACAATGAACAAAACAATAATTCTGACACCAATGTATGAAGCAATACAGTCACCCTCCTCTCCTTTTTTGACAGAGTATTAAAGTTTGGAACCAGTTTATTATTAGATAACTATGTCAAGGGTATTCTTTCTCTTTGCTGCTTTTCCTAGATGAATTTTCCTAATTTGTTCAAAATCATGTTTCAGATATTGATGAATGCCTTGAAGGTGGTTTGGGAATCTGTGGCCAAACCTGTACCAATGTTCCAGGGTCCTACATCTGCTCCTGTTTGCCTGGCTACACTTTGGATATCAACAAACGGTCTTTTCTCAGTTGTGAGCACTAAAAATGCTATGTGAATGGTAAGGTCATTTGCTTTTTTGATGACTAAGAAAGAGCTTTTGATCCGCATAATTTTTCAAACTAAACTATGACTGGCTAGTTGCTACTGGACAGTGACCAGAGTGCTCTGGTTCACTGATGGGAAAACTGTTTCTTCTACTGTGTGGGTAAGTGGCAGGGCCAAAAGTGGGTGCCATGGAAGAGTGATAGTGAAGAATAGAAGGTATGATGGTGGAAAGATGAATGAATATATGAAAAAAAAAAACAAATTAAACTAGGACTTTCTGTTTAGTAGACATACTCTCTGTATGCTTGGAATTGCTAACTTTCTTATCCCATCCTTGCCACTTTCAGGAAAACATGGCAGCACACAAGATGTTGCTACCTTTGCTTCCTTCGGTCTGTTAGTGTTGATGTCTTTCCAGTGTGCTTAGGTTCTATGAACGGTGCTGTGAAATCATAAACAGGAAGCCCTTATTTTTGCTTTGGCCCATCGGCAGTTTCTTAATAAACATGAGTGCTACTGTGAGTTCTTTCTGTCCCTTGCTTTGCCCTGGGTTTATAAATTGATTTTTGAATGTGTAAGATGCATTTAAATATTAAAAGTTTTTAATGCTTCTAAGAGAAAAATAGCCACAGATATGGCCTTTGAATAACCTTCATTTTGTCCTCAACTGATGCTATCTAAAACTAGTTGGATTTTATGGATTGGTTTAACCCCATATTACTTCTGAAGCAGGAGGTGAGAGCACTCTGAAATTCACCTCTCACCTCTTCACCTTGGTTTCATGAATGGCTGTTTTTGGTTCCTGCCTGGGAGATGCTACAGCTCCCTTCTGATCCAGGAGCTCGGATTTTCTTTTTCTCACTAATGGGACTCTCGCTAATGCAGGGAGGGGATGTGACAGGGCATGTTTCTAGCTCAAGAAGTAGGAGGTATACTTGAGTCCCTGTGCATGTAGTCCTTGGAACCATGGACATAACCAAAAGTACTCTGTGTAGCTCCCAAATTGGCATGAACACAATTACTTCAGTCATCTCCTAGAATTATCATTATTGACAGCAACATGTGACTCACAAAGACCCAAGCTGGTCTTTTGTAGCCCTCTATCCTCTTAAATAGATTAAAAAAAAAAAAATATTTTTTTTCTAAACTTTTCACTCCAGAACTCAAGAGAAATGAAAACAAACATTACCTCCTAGTGATATCTGTGCACAGATATCTTTCAAAGAACAATCCTACCTTAATATTCGATTACTTCAATTTTTAAATATGTTATTACTAGCATTTATGGCACCAATAGAAAGTGACTGATGGTTCAGGAGCTACTGTGATGGCTAAGAACATTTATGCTAGTTATAAACCCCTCTGTAGGTGGTACACCAAGTGAAATTCCCTCAAGTTTTAAGGACAGGGAGCTACCTGATGCGGGTGTTGTTTCCCTATTCATTAAACCCCTGATAAAAATTAAGTACCAAATCTGACTGGTGCCTCCGCAGTCAAAGCTGGATTTATCTGGTCCCTATTCCATTTGCAACCCCCATTCACAGGCATATCATAGGAAATTCAGAGAGTGGAAGAGACAAAACCAAAGTGTATAAATGCTCTTGGTCAGCCAATTTGCAAAAATGCAGGCCAGACGGCTGTCAGATTCCTGAGATAAACCAGCTTTGCTACACTTCACCGTTCATTTACCATTTACGTAAAGCAAGTCTTCATAGTTTAAATATTCTCACATGCAGTTGCTCAGTGCAAATTGCAGCAGAAAAAAGGAGTCACTAACATCCTAGAAGCAGCTGTTACAACTGGTTTGTAGCTTGAAAACTTGACAAAACTTGAGTCTGTTAATATAGAAATAGTGTGCTGATAGTCTTCCTTGTGACCACAAGAAAATTATATCTTGGGTATTTGTCAGAACTTTTTTTGCTTGGAGAAATCAAAATTGGTTTCGTTCTTCTGCTGTGAAAGGGGTTCTATCAAACAACCCTGCAACCATGGTGAAGGTGGAGCATCTGGCTAAAATTTGTACAGCTGATATCTGTTGAGTTTAAAGCCTTGGGTTGCATGCCAATCATAAAAATATTAAACAAAAAGGTTGTAAAACTCCTCAGGAAATCCAGTTAAATTTTCAAAATCATAGGTGCAAGAGAACTGATGATAGTATGTCTTTGGTGACATTCATCCATGGTAAACGGAGTTACTTCTGCGTTGCAGGAAGATCAATTCAACAAGTGATTAGAAGGCTTGAAAGATATCATTCTGTTGGACCTATAGCAATAATTCCATTTCAAAGTCACGTGGTTAGAGCATTACTTCTATGTCATGATGTGTTGCTTCAGGCAACCATGTTATAAATCACCACAATTACCACCACAATGTGCTTTCTTCTTTGAATGTTGTTTTGGTGGTAAATTAAAGACCAGGCTGTATATTCCCACATTTTTATTTCCTTTTTTAAGTTAGAAAAAAACTCCCATGTTTCTTTTTCAAGTGAAAGCTAAAATGTGACTGTCTACTTAAAAGCTCCTTTTCTCTGCTACGCAGTGGATAGGCATCCATAATATTCAAACTGTTGAAATGAAAACCATCCTAGTTTAGAAATGCAGTTAAGGTTACTTGGGCAATCTGAGCCCTGCCCTGTGGTGATACCCTAAAAATAACAAAGAAGGTTTCACAAAACTGACATAGTGTAATCTGAAGCCCTAACCGTTACGTCCTACTAATTGTACTTCTATACTTGTCACCTTGTTTAAAGGCTGCATTAAAGTTATTTGAATCATCCTCAGTGTTCATAACCTTCAACTTTAATTGGATATCTAGGGTTTGGGGCTTAATTGGAACATCTTTCATTTTAACATATTTGATATTAAGTTACAGACACACTCTTACCCTTCACATAGTATGAACATAGCTTTTGTCTGGAAGGAGTTATTACTGTTGAGATGTAGCATTTTTAAGTACAGATCTTCTGTGTTCCTTCAGCCCTCTGCATCACAAGAAACCTCTACAGTATCTAGCTTCTTCCTTTGCCCTGTCTTGGGATCTTCAGTTTCCCTGTTTAGATGGTTAAAGTGAGACTCCAGACCACCTCTCCGTGATAAATTCTTGCTACAGCATAATAGTTGAAAACGGTCTTTAACTTGGAGACACATCCGTGGCATAATTCTTTCAGCTTTTCTTTGTACACATGCAATAGTTCTTCTAGCCTCTGGCTAGACTGGAGTATTTGGGACGAGTGGTAACAACCACTGCAATCTCAGCTTCACAACTCACACATTTGACCTAACTTTCAGCATTACATGTGAAACAACTGTTAGATTTGTATCCTCTTGGTTCTCTGTGGTATGCCTAGAAAGTTATCATTAAAATATTAGAGAGATGGTTAGATCCTGAACTTTCTCTTTGGCTAGTATAATACCGATGAGAACTTAAAGCAGCAAAAATGCAGTGCTTATTTGGTCTCTTTTTGTATTCTCCCCACCAGACCCTGTACCATTCCTACTTTTTAACCATGGAAATGCCATCTTTAGAATTGACACTGAAGGGACCAATCATGAAAGATTGGTGGCTGATACTGGTCGGTCAACGCTTATGGATTTTCATTATATAGAAGAGAAAGTGTATTGGGTAGACTCTGAAAGGCGACTGCTTCAAAGAGTTCACCTGAATGGCACAAAACGAGAGGTAAAGTAATTGGTTCTCTGCAGTTTTCCAAGTTAATGGGCATAAAACTCTCTATGGAAACTATGTGCTCTTTAGGTACAATTCTGTTATTCCTATTCATTGATTAACACTTCACACTTTTTTAACGGTTTTTACTGTCATGATAGTTATGGTCCTGAGTCCAAGCTCGTTTACTGGCATTCACAGTATGTTTAGTATTTCTGTGGATCAAGTAAAAGAGAGTTAAGAATGAAGGAGTGGGAGTTTAGACAAACTAAAGCCTTGAAGACAATAATGTTTCTATCAGTTTTAAATTAATCCCTGGCATGAGGGAAGTTTGTCTTCCAGATTACTGTAACTCAAACTGGCACAAATGGTGTGAGAAGAATGTCCTTGAATTCCTACTAATTTTCTTTCTCAAACGTTTTATTGGTTTCTATGGTTGCATAAATGCTTCTTTTAGTACTTCAACCTTTGTTCTGCAAAAGCTGTGTGGTTCATTGCATCTGGATGATTAAGAAGGGCAGATAGGCTGTTGTGGCTATGCTGTGAGAACCTTCTTTTATTTATTTGAGAGGTTGATAGTGATCATATACCTACCTATGTGGAGTCTTCACTGAAGTATTTTTATGCTGATTTTTAAGGATCATGGTCCAGGAATGTTATGTTAAGAAGCCCTCTATTTGTAATAGTATAGGTCTGGGTGTTTCATAGTGTGAAAAATGCAAAAATTTGTAGCTGAAATTTTAGTCCAATGTATTTCTCATGGAGTACAGTTTCTCCTTTTGCAGTGGGTAACTCAATTCATAAAAGTTAGGTGTTAAGTACAAAGATCAAATGAAAGTGATTAAAGAATAACAAAAAGAAATACCTACAGATCTGAGAGAAGATGAAGCAGGTGAACGAATGAAATGGAAAGCTGCAGTCTGGTGCTCTATTCCCTGTACTGAAGGTCATTTATAGTTATCATTAGGATGCTTCTTATTGGCAGATTTCTCTTTTTGCTTACAGAGACTATGTTACATAGACAAAGGTGTTTCAGGATTTGCTATTGACTGGATAAATCAAGACATTCTCTGGGCCAACAGACAGAAAGCAACCATAGAAGCAACAGACATGAATGGGAAGCAAAGGCGAGTTCTTCTAAGAGAGGTTGGTCGTCCCACAAGGATTGCCCTTGATGCTGAGCAAAGGTAATTTTAACTAGGTTAGTAATTTCATTGAAATGGACTCAAAATATGCAAAGTGCTATGATTGTGGTTTGTAGGCTGATGTGCTAGTCTGTGCACAGTTTGATACCTTCTTGAACTTTGACAAAAGAGGATAAAAGATTAATAAGCATATAAGAGAGAAATAGAAAGTGCATAAGAAAAGTCAACCGAAGTCTAATACAGAATCTACAAGTCATGGTCATTGGGGAATATTTTGTTAGTGAGGAGAGCTGAGGGAAGAGGCATTGCTGGTCCCTTCTCAGAGACAGCAAAGTTTCAGGGCAGCAGAAAGCAGTTGCAAATGAGCAGGGGGATGATGCCTGCAAATACCCCTTGTGCTCCAAACCTGGCACACTTAGACTATAAACTGGTATGTTTTCTGAAAAAAGATCTGAAAAAACTTGCAGTTTTGTTTTGTTTCCCTTATCTCTTTCTCAGTTGCTCTGAATATTGCTTCTGAATCTACTGTTGCTATTTTGTGTCACTAGTCTGGCCTTCATAAAGATGCTTGTTCCAGGCTTCAAGCCATTTACACTGAGAACCGTGCTAACAAAAGGTATTTGGCCCTCTGAAGAATTATCAATATGAATTGTCTCAGTGATGTCTTTGTGATAATTTCCATTTACACACAAACCTCTCTGATTAGAGTTGCAAAAATAAAAACTTGAAGAGACTTTGAGATGCTTCTGTTTTGCACAGCAAATTGTGGTTTTGTTGCCACTTTTGCAGTAAAGTTGCTCAACAGTGTGTGAAACTATTTTAATATTCAGGCTGACATTACCTTTTCTGTACATCTATACATAAACCAATCTTCTGATGCTAGTAGCATTACTATTAGTCTTTGGAGTCTTGTAATTTGTGTAGGATTTAAAGGCCTGAACATCAGCCCATACATTTTTTTTTTTTTTTTTCTGATCTGCTTTTGAATGTAGTGTTTACCAATCTTGAAAATATCCAAAAGTCCTGAAACCCAGTGTCAAATGTCACTGAAACATGTTACAAACGGATTTATTTGCTGAACTTATGCAAAAGTTTGGGGAGACTCCAGTGCATATATTCACCTAGGTGTGATTCAGCATGCATAAAATCTTTATTCATGTGCTTACAGGGAGACCACTAAACCAGTAATAAACTGTAAAGAAAGTAGACTCCAAGAAGTCTAACATAATTTTTATGTATGGTATTTTGCTTGCATGGAAACTCTGAGGGCTTTCTTTTTAATGTGAAGTGAATTAAATAAAATCTCCCAGTATGTTTACATACACAGACATAAACATGAACTAAATTTGGTATTTAACAATGTCTTCCTTCAAATGTGGGAACCTAGAGTAATGAAGGTCAATGTGATACCCTAATAATAGAGTTTTTTTCTGAAAAGAAGTCTGGATATTAACTGTGACAGGATTATTTTAGTAATAATAATATAACTATTGCTGTAAGATTGTTTTGATTTTTTTAAATGGTGTTTAGAAATGCTGAAAAAGAAGGATTAAGACTGAAGAGAAATAGGGTGCAAATACAGTAAAGGCTGGGAATTACCCAGACTGGGTTCTAATCTTCATTTTTCTGTCTTCCTGTTTGTTCATATCATAGACTGTCCCTGCACTGATTTGCAAAAGTTGTACATAAGAGGCTATAGCCACCTTTGTTTCTTAGCTTCTTTACCTGTAAAAAGTGAATCCTAGCACTTGTCCAAACTTCCAGAATAGTGATGTTTCTTAATAGGTGCTACAGAAATGCAAGCAGATATTAATAAAGTGTTTTAACCTATACAGTGCTAACCTATGATAACTATAGACTATGTAACCGTGAGGAAAACTGTGATGCAGGGGATGATTCTTCTTACTGGTTTAGTGTAGTCCCTTGCCAGTGAGATCTTAACCATTTTGGGGTGGTTAAAAAATTATGAACATAAACATAACTAAACTGGCTTTATGCTACATTGTTCTGCACATAGAAATACTGCAAATTTGTGGAGACAAGACAAAACAGTGATGCTTCTTGGAATTTTTGTGCATAGGTAACTCAAGCAAAGAATCTAAACTCAAACGTTAAGAAGTAGAATATACACGTATGAGGGATATTTTAATATTTTGGAAGAACTGTTCTTAACCTTAGTCACATTGGTAAATCTAGGTTCTGATCCATTAATAACTTGACACATAAGTAGCTTCAACTGTTTTAAGTATTGGAGCTGTATTTTGACTGTGTCTGAACTTAATAGCAACATAATCTGGCTACTATAACCAGAAGGAAGGTAGAAAGAAATGAGAACAATAATAGAAATGGTATTTTTAAGTTAAGCACTTAAGTGATGTGCTCAACTAGAGTTTCTGGAGATAGATTCCTCCCCAGAGAAAAAGGACAATGCAGATATGCCTCCAAGACATGCTATTCCCTAGGTTTGCAGGAGTTCCCCATAGATTTGGGAGGTTGTCCCAGTTTCCTTCTCTGACTGCATGGCTGGGCAAAGCAGAGAGACAAACAATAGTGCTTCATGGTTAAGCAGGGCTGATTCCCCCCTGACCTACATGGAAGAAATTTCTTGTATCTCATTGCTTCCCGAACAGAGATATACAGTCTCTGACAAAAACATATTTATTAAAATAAGGAAACAACGGTAACTAAACTTCAGTGGTAACATTGTTTCTGTTAAACAGACAACATTCTGTTGTCAAAAATAGTTTCCATTCTTTATAGAGCTATGTTAAGGGGAGATGTATATGGGGCTTTTCTGAAATATGTTAGTATGTACTAAGAAAGTCCCTTGCTTTATTATTAGTTTTGGCTCTGAAAGCACTGTGGCAAGACTGAAAAATTCTGTATACAGGAGCAACTAAACAAGGACCGTGTAGTAGTTATGTGATCTTGCAATTGTAGGGTTTGTTTGTTGTGTTTTTTCCAAAACATGCCTTTCCTTTTCTGCAGGCTATTATATTGGTCTTCAGATGGTAGAGTTTCTAGCATACACCGAGCAACCCTCAGTGGAAGTGATGTGAGAGGTGTTTTAAGGACCACAGAAAAAATAAAGGCCATCTCACTAGATTTGGTTGACAGAAGGCTCTACTGGATCCAACATGACCATGAGAAAGAGATTTCCCGTATTGGATCCTGCAACTATGAAGGTGGAGCGGTTCATTTGCTCAAAAATTCTGTCCGGTGAGTTTTCCTGAGCCTGTCAGAAATAAAACACTCATTTCCTGGGAATGCAGCTAAGCTCTCTTCTTCCTTCTCCCTTTTATTTTATCAGTTCATAACACAATAAAGTGTATAAAGTGTAGTGCAAGGGGCCTGTAACTGTAAATCTAAAACTACTGGTAGGAAAATGGAAAAAATTGCTGTTGTGATGATAATACTGCCACTTAGCATGCTTCCATCTTTCAAGCTTTTAGCAGATGATAACTGCTTAATCCTTAGGAATCCTCTCTGAATGTTTATGAGTGGCCTTCTTCTGCAGATACAGAAGTCAGAAGCAGAGATTAAATGATTTGCCCAAGGTCACAGTGGATGAGCTCAGGTGTCTGAGCTGTGCTCAAGAGACTGAGCTAGATCAGGCCTGTCCTATCCTCCACTAAGCCTGTTGTCCTGCTTAGCTGCTGGGTGGTGGAGCCCAAACCTGTGCTTATGCTCTCCAACAAACATCACAAGATGAAGTGAAAAGTGTTCTGTGCAACAGACTTGTTCCCCTCTACTCCTCGCTCCCGGGTCTAAGCACAGCTGAAGGAGATGTTATCCCATGTGTCTTTGGGTGCCTTTAATATCCAGCCTTCATGCTTTGCAGTAGTCCAGATGCTCTATGGTGGGCTTGTTTTCTGTGGGGTACTCAGGAAAAGGTTACTCTCTATCACTGCAGTTTCTGTCAGTATGGCTGGATGGGCATATGCATAATAGGGACTGTCACAGATTCACGGATTCACAGAATGTTAGGGGTTGGAAGGGACCTCAAAAGATCATCTAGTCCAACTCCCCTGCCAGAACAGGATCACCTAGCGTACATCACCCAGGAACATGTCCAGGCAGACCTTGAAATTCTCCAGAGATGGCGACCCCACCACCTGCCTGGGCAGCCCGTTCCAGTGCTTAATGCACTCAAATGCAAAATGAGAAAAATACATCTTTTCTTTGGCCTGTTGATTTAGATACGCAGCACACCATTTGAACATGATGAACACAAGAGTACTTTCCTCCTACATTGCAATTGTCACATTGGATTTTACTTACCTTTTCCCCTTTCCTCCCTTGAATTGGCTGGTGTTCACTAGGGCACTTTCCTTTTGAACCTGGATGATAACAGACTCTCCTTTTTCCACCTGGAGTATGTACTGGAAAGTGGAAGCAAAAAATCCCTCTTTCAGTATTTTTTTCTACCTTCCCTCTTATTAAAAACTGGGCCCTTTTGTGGTTCTTGCTGGCTGTTATAACTGACCAGCAAATGGAAAATAAATTCCTGTGACATGAGAAGCAACAAGAGGGAATGCTCTACTCCTAACCCTCCACCTCCACCCTGTTTTCCTGGGGCAGTCAGAAGCACCAGAGCAGGCACGCAAATCTGGGAAATGGGGGGACTTCTCTGGCTTGAATTCTTTAACAAAGCAAGTGTCCATTTTGGTTGCTGGGTTCATGAGAAACAGGGTGGTGCCTTGGCTTTCTCTGTCAATTGACTCAGTCCTGAACAATAGCTTCTATAACTCCTGTAAAAAAACTCCTATCCATTTTGCATCTATTTCTTGCAAATCTGCAGGATTCTGTGGGCTGGATTACTTGGGAATGTTGCTGGCATCTCATCCAATTCTCATATATGTAAGATAGTATGAGATACATATATATAAGAATACAAACAAAGGTTATTTTTCAATAACTTGATTGAACTAGATGCTCAGAAAATTTAGTGAGTAAATATATGGGGATCAGGTAATGTACTTCTTTGTGTTTTCTCTTTGTAGACATCAACTGCTTGGTATGTCTCTCTTTGCTGATCACCTTTACTATTCAGAGTTGAAATCTGGTATGATATGGAGAGCCAACAAGTATACTGGAAAAGTTGTTGTTACAATTAGCCTGAAGCCATCATTTTTTCCACCAGTGGAGATGAAAGTGGTACATCCATTTAAACAGCCAGGTGCAAGAACAGATTCTCAGGATTTTGGTAAGTAAAGTGTAATGGCACAGTGGTATGTGTGAGAATAATAACGCTATACACTCCAAATTTCTTACAATAATAATTTTCTTCAGCAAAATTCCAGGCCTCAGTGAAGTCAAGAAAAAAACATTCCTTTAACTTCAGTGATCCATGGTTCCAGTTAGTGTGTGTAACTCCAGCTGGAGTGTCAGGCTAGAATGTGCTGATCATGAAAAACTGATTTCATTAATTTGTCTACAAATGCAGATAAATGTGATTTTCTCCTCTTTGTTCACACAAAGATGTTTTTATTCTTTCCTGCTAAATGCACAAAGCATACAGTTTTGTAATCCTCCATGCAGATTGCCTTTATCAAATGTCTGCTCCTTCTAGAAGTTTTATTCTAATATGCATCTAAACACCTCTGATGATTTGGCACTGAATGATTTTAAGTGCAGAGAGTGTCCTACAAGTGATATTGTGAATGTCTCAGCTTTGATCTGAAATGGCTGGATTGTGAGTCAGCCTGGTTTAGGCAGACTTCAAGTTGCCATAATAAGTATGACATAAGAGCTTTGGCCCTCCTTAACTGATATCATTTGCAGGCTATAGTGTGAGGTCATCATGTCACCGTGTGTCAGAAAATGGAGGTAGTTCAGTGTGTAAAGCTCACACTCCGTGAGGATCCCTGCTGAGGCAGCAGAAAGTGGGAGGTATCCAGGGGAAGTAATGTCTTATTCTCTATCTCTGGAAAGCAGACAAAGAGTATTCTTGCTTTAATGGAATAACTTTTGTCACCAGTTTTGTTTGGATACGAACAACTGATCAAACAACTCAGGCATTGTGTGTTGAGCAGTGGTTGTAGCACTCCTGGGGGAAGATGGCTGTGGATTCCCAGAGGTAGAGAAAAGAGGAGAAAGTAGTGTTTGTTCATGTGAGCAAAAATGATACTAAATATCTTTCTTGAACCATTTCTAAATATCTACTATAAAATAAGCTTTCTATTTCTTCATGCCAGCCAACAGCTTTATACGATACCTTGCTATCTCTCCTTCCTGAAACCTGGTCAGAGTGGGAAAATAAAATCTTCAAGAGAGCTTTCCCTTTCAAATGCTTTATTTGCAGTGAAAAGGGCTGTTGAGATGCAGAAGAGAAAGTGTTCCAGGAAATCAAGCTTATACTTGTAAACAGAGGGAGCTTACATTCAGAGACAATACCTGTTTTGTGCTTCCTTCAAGGAAGACTCATCCTGGCAAATGGAAGCACCTTCTTCAGCTGACATGTTTGATGCTCTCACACAGAGGACCTAAGGAAGAATACATTTGTGGTGCAGACAGTGACATGTCCACACATCTCAGGATTGTTACAATGACATTTGGAAAGTCTAATGAGGCCTTCTTGGATGTCTGTCACCATGTCTGCATATGCATGAAGATAGAGAGAAAGAAACAATGACCAAGAAAGTGTCCATGACAGTAGTCTCTTGAACCTGAGGGGCTATTTGTTGAGTTACATATGTCCTCTCTGCAAGAGTGTATAGCATAATTTCATTGACCACTAAGTCAACTATATGGACTAAGTGCCCATACTTAGCTTTTATTGTTCTCTCAGAAGATCAACTCCACTTCTTCCACCAGAACATGCTGCTTTCTGGTGTTTCTCTTTCCACTGGAAAAATGATTACCCCACCTTTATTAATAAACTACTAAAGTTTTTAAACATCTCACAGTATATACCCCTGTATTTCTAAAGTGTGTGGTAAATTTTTGTATGCCAGTAAGTAGTGTCAGTAGTAGGCCTTTTTTTTTAAATTCCAGGTGCTGTTTTGTAAAAATATCTGGGAAGTGATGGAGTAGAAAGAAGCTTAACAGGCTGAATCCAGATGAATCTTTTGGACTTTGCCTGCACCTTGCTTGGCTTATTCACTGCAAGAATAGGGAGGAAAGGAGGACTAATGAGCCTGGACTACAAGTGAGATTTATAGCTGACCTTACAACAGAGAAACCTGGAGATAAAAGCATACCTAGACTAATTGGATGCTCTGCACAAACTGGGAAAGTGTATGTTGCAGTGTAGTGTCAGCTGTGAATTATCAGGCCTTCTTTAAAGCAGATAGCAAGTGAGTTCCTTCAGATGAAAAGAGAACTTATGAGAAGAGTTCAACTGACATGATTTTATTTTTTACTGGAATTTGGACTATTTACTACTTAAATCCCTCATGTCCCCTCTTCTCTTTCTCTTTCAAAAAACTTTCCTGAATTGGTCAAGGCAAATGAGTACAGAGAGCATTAATTCAGCTGCAGGGTTGCTGTAATTCCACATAACTTTAGTATGGCAGTATCTGGAAGATGGCCTCTAATTTACCTCAAGTCTTTTTGACTTGATCCTAGATTTGATGACAGTATGTGTATTTATAAATGCCTGCTGGAATGTTCTTCACACATTTATTAATGGCCCATAAAATATCTTAATTACCTTAAAATCTCAAAGACTGCCTCTGGAATTTTTGTAAAGTATCTTCTCTGACAGATTAATGATATTCAGTACACTCATGTTATTTTTTTTGGAGGAATTATGTTGTATTTCTACCCAGTGTAAGATAACAGCATGAGACTATTAGCTGAGAACAACCATTTCCACAGAAGAGAGGTGATGAGAGGAGAAAAAAGACACACACACACACAAAAACAAACTAGAAAGTATGGTTTGTAACGGTTGTTTGAGATTATCTTAAAAACTTTGTGATTCATAATTTAGTCAACATTGATTTTAAATTTTTAACAATTTTTTTTTTTTAGGTATTGATTTGGCAACATTGAGTTCTAATAATTATTCAATTAAAAAATAATATCTTCCTGAGATTTCCCACAGGGCAAAATTATTGCTTCTGGGACAAAAAAAACCAGCACCAGTGATAAGCCTAAGATAAGAATAAGATGCAGCCTTGAATGTGGTCTTGTTTCTGGTTTATATTGTTTTTTGATTGCATGTACTTGCCCTTTTGTAATTCTAATGAGTTCTGTATTTGAAGATTAGAGACCCCAGTACTATGTGTTTCTGGAACATGTCACTCAGAGAGGTGGTAGATGCCTCATCCTTTGAAACATTCAAGGTCAGATTGAACTGGACTCTGAGCAACCTGATCTAGGTGAAGATGTCTCTGCTTACTGCAGGGGGATTGGACTAGATGACATTTAAAGGTCTCTTCCAACCAAACCCTATGATTCTATGATTCAGTTGTAGCAGGGACAAAGGTTAAGTTTCCAGTTCAAAATTAGTTCTACAGAAAAGGTAGTTCATGGTAGTGGTCTCTTGAACCTAAGGGACTATTGGTTGTATTATGTAAGTAATTACACAAGAGCTATGTAAAATTCAAGTCTCTCAAAAGGCAACACACTTAATAACATAAATAATGTCCATCTAGTCATCCATTCATCATTTTTCATTTAGTGATACAACATTTGTTAGAAAATAATTAATCAGTTTGATGCAAGTAAGTGCAATGTTGCTGATTTCAGCCAAGCTCAAGTATCTGTCTGGGAAATTATCTCAGCCCTTTATAGATGTGATCTGTCATTCCACCAAATGGCCAATATTTTCTCTGTTGTGGCTAGCAAAATACTAAACATCAAACTTAAATATTATGGTGCTTTCCATCTCTTGGAATTTAGGGGGTGAATTAGAAATAGCATAAGAAAATTGTTCACACACAGATCTCTTTGCCTGTATTAGGCCATGATTTCTTGTGTGTTACACGGCCCAGGGCAAAGACCGTGTTGTGTGTGGGTGACTCCGTACCCACATTCAGGAAGTGCAGTTCTGCTATTCTTAGATTAGGAAAGAGGCAAGCAACACCAGAAGAAGATTAGAAAGATTAGAGCAAAAATAATAGTTTGGGAGACAAAAATAAAACCACGAGTGTTGCATATTTGCAAAAGCACCAGCTCTAAAAAATAAATGAGCACAGAAATGAGGCTTTGCAATTCCTTCCCATGAAAGGATACTTCGATACCCATTTGCCTTTTTGTATAAAGCAGGAGAAGCAGGAAGGGTTCTGGGGATCCATTTGGTACTTTTCTCTGTTTCCTCTGGAAAAACTTTGAGTATATCCTGTTGGACAGCAGAAACATTCTGAGTTTTAAATCTGAGTACAAGATTTATAACACTTGTATTTCTCATAGTCAGAAACCATGATTGACTCCTATACAAGGATTCTCTAGGCTGTGCTAATAGTTTTTGTCCAAATGAAGATCATTATGATCATTATGATTTACCCAGTTATTTTTTTTTTCTAAGTAATGGGAGACTTGAGCACTGCTTTGCGCTAATAATTTCCAGTCTTGTATGCTCCCTTTCTTTTAAAATAGCGCTGCTTTCTAAAATATCTCTTTTTTTGCATGTGCTCTCTCTTTCTGTTACTCTCATATTTTCAGAGTGTTTTACAGAACCTGGTAACGTATAATACTGTGCAACACTGGCAGCATATGAAGCCTGCCATACAGAGTTTTCCCTTTCATAGTCACTGTAGGTATGCACACAAACCGAATAATCTACTTCAGGCTCTCTCTAGATCTGCTTGTGCTGACACTGAGCTAGAAATGATTGTTTGCACAGACGTACTCTTTGTCTTCCATGTACTTTCATTTTTATAGTGACTTTTTGGCCTGATTTTACCAACAGAAAGTAATAAAAGTTGCTTTCTATCAATGAGAATTTCCTTGGGTTGAGCAACTAGCTGTTGAGGAGACAACACATCAGTGAGCAACTTTGCTCAAAATAGCTTCTCCTTAGAGTTTTTTATTGTAAGAACTCCACTATGTTTACACTATATTTGTTTTTACAGAAAAAGAAACCTGTGATTTGAACAAGGAAAAGTGCAGAAGAAGAATCTGCAGGCCAGACTCAAAGACTCATCGGTGTAAATGTGCAAGTGGCTTTATTTTAAGCCGCAATAAACAGTTTTGTGAAGGTAATATGTGAATCTCCTGTCAGTTTTATTAATTAGATGGAAGAATTCTTCTGTGCTTTTACTTTTTTTATAACTTGAGTATGAAAAAAAATGACTCTGAGGTCTTAAAAGTTCCAGTTGTGCCCTTTCAGTTTTGTGTCCTTCCAGGTTCTGAAATAGTCTAAAAGGAGACCTATGGAAGTGTTGCAAATACTTTTCTTGTGAGAAATTTTGGTCTTAGCCTGAGTAGTTAAAAGAGTTTCAGATAAATAGACATACTTATGGATGCTTATTTAATTTTCAAATAAAAATTTAAACAGATATATCACCAAAGATTAAACATTGAAAAATCCTGCAACAAAATGGCTGTCTTAAGTCCCACTTTCAAAAGACCCATGAAATCTTAACATCCTTCTATTTCCATCTGGATTGTTTTTTTAAAAAAAAATCTAACGGTACTATTAATAATAGTTAACATATCACTTTTAGAAGCATGCTTTTCACTACAGATTTGAAAGGACTTGAAGGCACCCAAACTCCTAGCATGCAAGATTTACAGACTTGCCCAGAGCAGCAGCCATCCCGTTCTCAGGAAATTCACCAGGATTGGTTTCTGAGTTTCAACCTCTAAAATTCTTCTGTGTTTTGAGAAATTTACTTAAGTCATGTTGGAACCAAATTTTTTTAAATAATTTTTTTTTGTCTGAGTAAAGTGTCCAATGTAAATATTTTTGAGTGCATGCAGGATTTCACTGGCACTGGAGTCAGTATGGAAAGGCATACCTTTGAAAGTCCTCTAGGCACCTATGCATGGTGCCATGTGCATCCTGAGTAGGTTTTGCCAGAAGTTTCTTATTTGAATAAGGTCTGCAAACACTCTTTTTTATAATTTCTTAGGACCAACATATTTTTGTAAAATGAATGGGAAAAGGAGGTGTTTTTTGTAAATTGTTAGTTTGTTTCATTAATCTTATTCCTTGACGCTGGTCGATGATGATATTCTGACACAGCAACTGCTTCTTTTGGCAGATATCAATGAATGTGGTTTCTGGAATCATGGCTGTACTTTGGGCTGTGTGAACATCCCTGGTTCCTATTACTGCACTTGCCCAAGAGGTTTTGCTCTGCTGCCTGATAGGAAAACATGTCATGGTAAGTGGCAGTAATACATAAATGTTTCACGCATCATATTTGAGATAGTCCTCATTTAACACTGGAACCACTGAAAGTTATGTGTGTTGCATTGCTTGCTTCCAATCCCTCATTATGTAAGTAGGATCAGCTTAAAATGAGTGAACCAAATTCAGATGTCATGTTTAAGGAAATGTAATTTACATGTGAGTCATCAAGCATGAGCCTTTTCAGGAGAAAGAGAAAGTCTCCAGAGACACCTTTTTGCTCAGGTTAGGCTCTTGTCATATATTCCAGGTGGATAAGCAGTTATAGATTTTAAACATGGTTTCAGAATCTGGCTCACTCTGGCTCTCCTGCATATGAATTTGTACAGTCTCTGAATGAGCAGTTTACAGCATCATCTTTTTTCTCTTCAGATCAGGGTTGATAGCATTTCTAACTTGCGTGACATTAATGAAATTAAATCCATGTCCATCTGCTAACAACAAATAATACACATGGAAGTACTCATAAAGTTGCTTACTCTAGGGATCTGCTGCAGATGTGATTTTTAGTTTGGTTTTTGGTTTGTTGCCTTTTTTTTTTTTTCTTTTATCAATTAAATTGTGCATAAGAAGTATGCCTGAGAGAACTTATCCATATGACATACGTATGTAAAGCAGGAAGCTCTCTGTAGCTGGATAAATGTGAATAAACTAAACACAGAGAACATGGGGGAGTGGAGGAAAAACTAAAGAGCTGTCAGTAAGCTTCAAGTGATAGCAAGAGTCAGAGGTAAAAGGGTTTCCTTTCTCCCTTTATGCAGCACTGTGTTTATTCAGCTTACAAATTAACCAATTTTTTCTAAAGGAAGTCTAGAACATAAGGTATGAAGCACATCCAGGTTTTAAGATATTGGGATATTCCCAGTCACTTTTCTATTTCATAATGAAGTGAAACTTTGGCATAGAGGAAGCTCCTTCTACCTTATTTCTAGGAGGTATATGCCCTAAGTAGAAGTGCCAGTGGGTACCAATGAGTTCAGTCTGGATCATGGCAGGATCAGGACCCAGGCTATATTGAATATCACTACTAGAGAGTAAATGTAAGTCACAGAGTCTAACAAACTCTAGCAATCTATTTTACATGTCCAAAATTCACTTCTCCCTCTTTATGAAGAGGGAGCCAGGAGCAGGATGCAGTGACCCAGATGTGGGGGTCCAGAGTGTGTATGACAGCTGCAGAAAGCATCTGTATGTGACAGAAGACCTATATGAGACCTGCAGGCAGAGGCTATTGGGAGGCAGGGTATCCTTTTGTGTCCAAACCAAAAAAATGTAGGCACTGTGCAACTCAGTTCTGCTCTAGATGACTAGCTTGAACCATATGCCTACATTTTGAATGGCTCAAACTAGGTAGCAAATAACGTTTTTCTAACACAGGCTAGGGATACAGCATGGACAGTATAACTCCTTAACTACTGCAGCACAAGGCAGATATGTCACCAGCCATGCAACTTGAGAGAAGGAGAAATGCAAGGTGAGAAGTCCACATGCTGACCAGACATTTCAATGCCTTGTACGCCCAAGTCCTTTATGAAGATCTTCATCTAAAGCCATGAGCTCCAGTCAGAAAGAAACATGAGACCAGTTTCTGAACCCTCTTTGCTGTGCTGAAGAGGTTAAGAACAATCCAGTTCAGAGCACAGTTGCCCTGGAGAAGCAATATTTGCAACAGCTATGCACCTTTTAAGCCAGTGTATGCAGCTGATTCAAAGCAGCAGCTGTGGGAAACTTGCATTAGTTCCAGTCCTCCAGTGGGTGTTGCCATATGGCACTGGATTTGGCATGAAGAGATGCAGCACTGCAATACAGAAGGAGGAAGAAGCATATCCTGTGAAACTGCACTGAAGAAATACTAAAAAATATGTTGGCACTCCAACAGTTATAATTAAAAATAAAGGAAAGCTCTTGCCAGGTCCTCCCGAAGCTTCAAGAATTGCCACTAAGGAACATTGTTTTATTTCTAGAAGGTTCATCTCCTCTTTTCGTTGATTCTAACTCTGTTACCCTAGGAGTAGTAAGAAAGTAGTTTTTCCACATTCTCTTTGTGTTTTATACCAATTCTTTCAGTGTAACTGTCTTGTAGTTTTCCAAACCTCATCTATTTTTGATGAAATATAAAAAAGAAAGTTTTCCAAATTATTTTTATTTTGATAACACAACTTCATAAAATTTTAGAAAATTTAAAGCTGATCAGTATTATGGCTTCAGGACACAGCAATTTTCACTTTCTCCTTTGCTGTAATTAGGAGAGGAAATAATTGCTATAATTAGGAATTCTGAAAACAAAACAAACTCCAGAAAGACCACAGAAGTGTTTTACTCTAAACATCACAGGGCTGTGGTTTTTACTTTTTCTTTTTTTTTTTCTTCCTTTTTTTTAAAAAAAAAAAAAAATTTTTGTTTTTATTTTCTTTTTCTTTTGCTGTTTAAGAAAGTGTTAACATCTTTTGGGGGGCTTAGTAGAAAGTTGTATCATAATTTAAGAATTCTATTTTCCTTTGAAATTACTGTAGAGCTAATTTCCTGTACAAGTAACGTCACCGAATGTAGCCATGGTTGCCTTCAAACATCTAAAGGGCCTGTTTGCTTTTGTCCTGAAGGATCTGTACTCAAAGTGGATAGCAAAACATGCACGGGTAAGTTGCATTTTCTCTAGCTGTAGTGACTGCCCAACTTGGTTTATTCTTGGCACTGAGAGACAGAAGTGAATGAAGGCATTTTACACTCATTTTACACAATACAATTTTGTAATAATTGTACAAGATAGGAGGAAATGGAATATCAGGTCCTTTGAGTGCTGAGAAGAGAAGTATTCATCTTTTAATAGATATTTCCTAGCAGCAACATCAATGTTGGCAGGCCAATTTCTTTTGTTGTCAGCTCCCATCAAGGCATCTCCCAGATGTTTGTTGAAGAAGACATCGGAAAGTTTATATTCGAGTGGAAATACAGATACACAATTAGGGCTTGGGTGAAATGTGAAGATGACTTTACTGACATTATGCAACCCAGGTTCAGAGTCTCTCTAACTTTGAGCAATTGCATCTAATTATCCACAAATGGAATTTTTGCAGTTAGAATATTTGAAAGAGCTGCACCCACTGTTCTGTCATTCCTCATTCCAGAAAGCTTTCCAAATTCAGGAGACTGCAGCTTTTCAACCGTATCTTTTCAGTCTTAGTTAATCAAGATAGTTCCATTAATGCCAGGCTTATGCAGTGAAAAATCCCTTTTCCCCTGTACATCCTGTACATATTGCAGACTGTACTGTACATATAAATTCAGTCAGTGTTGATGTTTGGCTACAGACACTCCACTGAGTAAGCTCAGATTGTATTGAGGCTGTAACCACCATACAGCAACAAGAAGAAAGAATAGTTTTTGTATAAAATACTTCTTTTGTCATATTAGAAAATATAAATTCTCCACCCTAGCCTAATTAATTTCTGCAGAAAGAATGGCATTGATTTGCTCTTCCTTTGCATGGAGTGTGAAGTATGAAACAATTTGTTACTATCTTGTAGATGGGATAAGATTTGAATGGGAAAAAGAGTTCTCTGTAATAATGAACAAATGAAAACTCTCTTCATATATCCCACCCTGTCACCAACTCCCCTGCATGCCCCCCCCCGCCCCCCATCTTGTGCTGTGCCTTTTTGGGGAATACTCTGGAAGTAGTTACTACTTATTTGCTTTCACTTCATGAGACTTCTGTCTTCAGC